AAGTGATAAATTGCAGCCCTTGAAAATAATTTTATTCTGATACTGTATTATGAAAATGTAAAATTAATATTATTATGGATAAGTCAATATTCAAACTCTTAGAAGAAATAAAAATATAAGGTATTCATGACTGAATAGAGTACTGGATTCAAAATCAGAAAATCAAGATTCATTCTACTTGGGTTACTTGTTATTTGATAAGTTGAAGAAATTCAAGCTTTAGCTGTCATGTTTCTAAGATAGAGTTTATACCAACCTTAATTTATGGTGTGAGAAGGAGTGTCAGTTTTCTGGTAATTGTGATGCCTTTTCAAAATATATGTCTCTTAAAAAAATAAACAGATAGAGGTAAGCATTTGTATGAAGGTGTAAATGTTGATACGATATGCATATGTATTGTCTCTGACAAAAAAAAAAGAAAAAGAAAAGAAAAAGAAGCCGTGATTTGCACTTTGGTGGGCTAATGGTGGGAACTTCTGTCACAATCCTGAATGTGTGTTGTTCAAACCCACGAGCTCACCCTCTGGAAAATGATGGGCAGTCTTTTCCCTGTAATAAACTGCCTCTGAATCCCCCCTGGAGCTTCCAACTATGGAACCAGTTTGGATTGCCTCCAACTCGATAGTACTCAATAACAACAACAACACGGAGTTTTGTCTTACCATCATTCTTTTTTCTCTCTCTCTCCTACTCCTGTCTTTCTCTTTCCTCATCCTTAAATATTTATTGTTATATCTACTGCGTCATCTCTTAAATATTTCATAATGTCACTCCACTCTTCTTACACATGTGCAATATTTGAAATAGGTTCAAACTCCCCCCCCCCATTGTCCATTTGACTTTTGGTGTTGAATTCTGCTTTCTGAGCTCAACCTGATTCTTACATTATAACAAGGTACTTGTTTGGTATTTTTCATAGATCCTTAAAGAATTTTTTCATTATTTATGAGGTTCAGTGGTTTTTGTAGTTGTTGAGGGTTATTTTTTTGGCTCTGATTCATAAAGAACCTACAAATAAGGAAAAAAAAAACAAACCAAAAACTTGTTGCCTGATCATGTGCCAGTCTCACAATTTCTTCTATGCTTAAGCACATTGCTGAAGTCAGTATCCATCTATCTCATTGAGGGACTTCCTCTTTTCACTGACCTCAAATTTTCCAAGCATGGTGTCCTGCTCCAGGAACAGGCTCCTTCTGATAAAATGTTCAAAGCATGTAAAATAAAGGCTCATCATTCTTGCTTCTAAGGAGCATCTTGCCTGCACTTCGTCCAATGCAGGTTTGTTTGTTCTTTTGGCCATCTATGGTATATTCAATATTCTTTGCCGATAGCGCAACTCAAAAGTATCATCAATTCATCTGTCTTCATGATTCACTGTCCAACATTCACATGAAATAAAGCAATTGAAAATACCATTCTTAAATGAGATACACCTTGATGCTTAAAAGTTAAATCCTTGCTACGTAGCATTTTAAAGAGATCCTTGTTGGTAAATTTGCACATTGAAGTACATCATTTGATTCCCTCACTGGTCCTTCTGTGAGAATTCGTTGTGCATCCAAGTAAAAGGAAATAATTTTTTATCAATTCAGTTCTGAGGACTTTTATTTTCTTTAGGTTGAGATTCAATATATAATTAAAGTTCTGGTCTTTGCCCTTCTTCTTGGCCTTTCACCAAGTCTTTGTTTGATGTGTCTGCTGCATATTGTAGGTTGCTGATCAGTCTTACTTCAACCTTGATACCTGAAATCTTCACCTTGTCTAGTTTATCAGAATATTTTCTCAACATACAGGTTGAATACCTTTGATGAAAATATATAACTCTGATGCACATCTTCCTTGATTTTAAACCATGCTGCATTCACTTGTTCTGTTCAATTGACTGCTCCTAGGTCTATATGTACATATTCCACATAAGCATTAAGTGTTCTGGAGTTGACATTCTTCTCAGTATTATCCATACTCTACTATGACCCACACAGTCAAACACCTTTGCAGAGCAAATAAAGCACCAATAAGCATTTTTTCTGGTATTCTCTACATTAACACCCTCTGACGTCAGCAGTGATGTCCTTCATTCCACAACTTCTAATATATCCATCATGTATTTCTGGTAATTCTTTTTTCAGTATGGCACTCTAGTCATTTTCAAATTACCTGCAGCAAGATTTTATTTCAATGTGATAGTAATGATATTGTTTCATAATTTCTATAGTCTAGTGGATCACTTTTAAGAATATTTTTAGATTTTAGAATGGTTTCAGAAATATAGATCTCTTTCAAATATTAAATTCTATCTAACCTCCTTTTTCCATGATACTCTGCTTAAAAAATTGATTCTTTATTTCTTTACCCCTATGTATTCTCTATGTATTTTCCCATTATTGTGTAATATCATTTGTAAATTACTCACTCTCTGTTCTCTCCCTGCCATTACTTCTACTCTTTCTTTGCATTCTTGAATTGTAGGTATTAACCTTATAATAAATACCACCTCTAGGCATTTGTTGTTGTTAGGTGCCATCAAACTGAATATAATCATCTAGAGTGAGATTTATTCTTCTTATTGTGAAAGAAAAAAAAAAATCACAAGTCTCAGAGATTTAAGAAACCAGATGCTTGGTCAAAGCATTCTTTGTGCATTTTATTCCACACCCAATGACAAAATAGTCTCACAAGTCCTCTATGTGTTGTATTTTTATGGTTTCTGTTCAAAAATTGAAACAGATCCTAAGTAGCTGTGCCAATTTTTGGAGTCAGTAGGCACAACATTTGTCTATGTCCAGAGATTGCCTTCAAAGGACAAAGGCATGCGAACCAATTGTGATGCTATGTCAAATCAATCAACCCTTTACATCTACTTCAGTGAGCATAATTTTTTAAATAAAATTGGAAAATATCTAATCATCTCTAAACAGAGAGTAACTTCGCAAGACCTTCACAAGTATCACCTTGTGAAGCATGTGAATTTGAGCTACTAAGAAAGAAGCGAGCAATATGATGATGTGGGAACTTTAATTAGCAAGTTTCTTGTTACACTTCCTCTCCAAGTGAGAAAGTGAAGAAAGACAACAAAAGCAACAACAGCTCTAAGCATAAAGAGTGAGGGTTGGAATTTCAGGCCTGTGAAAGAGGAATATGATCTATAAAAAGGAATTTCTTCTAGAAGATGTTGGCATGTCATTTTAACCTTTCTCATTATTGTAAGAAGTTCTACCCACAGCTTCAATTGGCTAGCTCTAGAGTGCTGAAAAGCAAAGATAGCAGTCTAGAGACTGGTGTGCCTGATCCAAGTCATGGTTTTTGCAATTACTTGCTATGCATCAGAGAAATGGACAATGATGGTGGATGACAGAAGAATTGATGTTTTGAGTTGTGGTGTTAAGAAGAGTATAGAACACACCACAGACTGCCAATAGAATAAATCTATCCTGGAGAGGGTGAACCCTAACTCCTCCTTGGAGGCAAGGATTTTGAGATATTGTCTCACATACTTTGGCTATGTAACTAGGAAGAAATAGTCTTTGGAGAAGGATATCATGCTTGAAAGGGTTGAGGGACAACACAGGAGATGTATACATCAAATGAGGTGGGATAATGAGGGTAGGTGTGTCAGAGAGTGTGATTGGCTCATGATAGAGCACAGTTCAGAGCTATTGTGCATAGGGTCTCTGTAAGTTGTAGTCGACTCAACAGTACATAGCAACAAATAGTGTAATTGAATTTTTCTTTGTTCCTTCCCTGTGCAGTTGGAATATTACTGTTTTTCCTTCCTTCCTGTATACTGTATAATAGATCAAATAATTGTATCCATTTTTATAGCATCGAAGGGGGGGGGCAAAGAGCACATTGCATATTTCTTTGTATTTATTGGTGTGTGATTTTGTTCAATATATCTTTCATAAAGAAAATAGAAAGGGGGTAAAACTACATACAAACAGAAAAAGGTAAAATGATTTATGATGGTATTTCATTATCTAGCAAATGTTCTTGTGTAATCCTGGTATGGGCAATTATTGGCAAATAGCTTCTTATATTTCATAAGGCATGTTACTTATTATTTACTACAACTCATCTTAGAGTTTTATTATTTTTATATATGTCTTTTCTGGCCTCGTGGATATGGAATCGTGCTGCCAGCCCCAAAGCAAGAAGTTTGGATCCACCAACTGTGCCCCACAGGAGAAAGATTAATAATCGCCTCCCTTGCAATTTACAGCCTCTGAAAGACCTGCTGAAAGGTCAGCTATGAGTTGGTTCTGACTCAATGTTACATAACAACAACAACCTACCTCTAGAGTTATTTATTTCCTCTTTGACCTAAAAAGCCACAGTTGAGTAACATTTATTGACTCATGTTTCTTCTAAAATTCCATTAAATAAAAGCAGAATATACTACATCAACAAGACCAAACCAGAAACCAACTCCAATTCATTGACATCAAGTCAGAACAGACACTCTATGGTATTTCCAAGGCTGTAAATTACCTGGGAGGAGATCGCCAATCTTTCTCCTCAGGAACCACTGGAGGATTCCAACTACCAGAGAGTCATGGTATTTAGGTTAGCGATGCAACTGCCCAAAGACTGTGCCTATCAATATACTTAGGGTTAGCCCGCTGCCGTGGTCATTCCTACTCGAGATGATTTCCCATGGCTTCAAAGGCTGTAATGGGAGCAAACTGTCTCGTCTTTATTACACAGAGCAGCTGTTAAATTCAAACTGCTTACATTTGGGTTACGTCATTATTCTTAACATAATATATACAGCTCCTTATACTTGACATAATATATTTACTTTATCTGTATTTTGATCAGTCTTGCTGTGAGATTATTCACTCCTCTAGGACAATAGTTCCTATTTTCTGTATCTATGTATGCACAGATTGCCCTATAGTGGTTAGCACTTGATAACCATTAAATAAATCAATAAACAAATGTACTAAGCACTGAATATGTAGCAGTATATATTCTTTAACTTTTTCCTTTAAATTTTCCAGTAAAAACACAGGTAATGGGTGAAATAAAGATTGCATTGAAGAAGGAAATGAAGACAGATGGTGAACAGCTGATAGTTGAAATTCTCCAATGCAGAAATATCACTTACAAATTTAAATCTCCTGACCACTTACCAGGTATCTGATTTTATAATGTTGTACAATACAATATGTCAAATATTCATTTGAGATATAGTTAAGTTCTCCTGAAAAATGCCAAGTGAAGTTTAGGTTATGTACTAAATATAAGAAATAAAATGCCAAATAGGATTTTAATAATTTGTTGTATGTATATAAAAGAGTTTAATTCTCCTTCCCTCAATGTTTAGCTAGTTATTTTTCAATTCAGAGAATTAAATGAATGAATGAATGAATTTTTATATTACAGGAAATTGGTCCATCTTTTAAAAACTTTTACATTATCTAAAGTCCATTTTAATGATCTACTGGGGGGGGGTGTTTGATTTTGTTTTTTGAGGGGAAAGCTCACAACTGTTTTATTCACCTCTGAATTCACAAATCTAGGAAGGGGACAGAAAATACTAATTGATAAGGGGTTTTTTTAGAAAATTTTTTTTATATTGGTTTACTTACGAAGTTCATATACATTGTTTGTCACATCGGAACTTTCCCAATTCCTTTCCCCACCTCTTCCTTGCCCATCAAATTGTGTGGCCCTATGATTACTCCCCTGCCCATCCTCACCGCTCTGCCCCGCCCCGCCCCTCCTTGGATCCTCATACGTGTTTTACTATTTATCTTTTTATTTCTACAATAGTAGTCTTATACAGTATTTGTCCTTATGAGACTGAGTTAGTTCACTTTAGCAATAATACTCTCCAGACCATCTCAAGTTAAGAAGTAATTTTCAAAATCATTGCTCCTGCATGCTGTCCATTGTGTGAATGTACTGGTTTTGTTTAAAATATAGGAACTATCAGTATATAATAATAATTATTATTTCAGTAAAAAATTCTATGCTTTTGGATGCTTAATAGGACAAATTCTCATTTTCAGATTTATATGTGAAAATATACGTTTTGAACATTTCTACCCAAAAAAAAGTGATCAAGAAAAAAACTCGAGTATGTAGACATGATCGAGAGCCTTCCTTCAATGAAACTTTTAGATTCAGCCTAAGTCCTGCTGGTCATTCTCTTCAGGTAACTATGTTCTACAGTTTATATGACACATTTTAACTTATTTTGTATCTACTTTCAGTTACATTATTCAATATTTATATACTGATCACGTACTATGTGACATAGGGCAATACATCAAATATTGAAATAAACATTATTTGATGTATATTCCTGAGCCCTCTTTGCTAAAACATCTTACCCCATTTCATTGATTGCAAAGTCTTCTCTAGTCTACTGTTGGATTTTTATTTAATATGCATTTCTTTTATTTTACTTTCCTAATCACTGCCACTATTCCTCTTTATAACTCCATCTTTGTTATATCAACATTTGAGCAGTATATCCGGCCTACTTGTCACCCATATCTTGCCCCTTTAATTCATTTCATCACATTACCTCCAAAGTTCACTTTTAAAAGCACTGATTAGGTCAAATTAAAACCCCTCAGTAAATAACCATTATCTTGATTTATTCTAAATCCTCCAAGATCTTATATACTTAATCTTATCTCAGTTTATATTCATCATATAAAAATTTTTTAAATCAACTTGGGCCCTATGTTTTATTCATCATTTTCTTCCCTTTGAAGCTCTTGTCCTCATTTCTTTTCAAAAATAACAATATCTTAGATATTTTTATGTAAGCTTAGTGACTTTACTGGTTATTTTATGTATAATGATTAATTCATTGTTCCTTAATCACATAATATTTTTGCTTAATAGTACCACCAACTCCACAGCGATTTGTTCAATGATTTATATATTTACATGACTACTCTTATGCACTATCCTGGTGGTCTAGTGATTAAAACACTTGATTGCTAACCCCATGGATGACAGTTCAAACTCATCAAATGCTGGGCAGCTGAAAAATGTGAAATCTGCTTCCATAAAAGATTGTTGTTGTTTTAAGGTGCCACTGAGTCAAGTATAATTAGTAGTGACACTATGAACATCCAATCTGAAACTTAGCCTCTCCTGTGCCATCCTCATCATCTCTGAAACATTAGAGCCCATTGCTGAAGTACAACCTTAGAAATTCTGTGAGACAGTTTGATTCTGTCCTATAGCATTTTGTAAGTTGGAATTGATTTGATAACAGTGGGTTTTTATGGGAAATACATATATATCTTCCATAAACAATATTTTAATTTCCCATAAAAGAGATATATATTTATTTGTATCTCATAATATATGTGTATCTCATAATATGTATAGCCCATAAAATATATACGTACCATAAAATAGAGATATATCACTAGCATACATATTTACATATGAAGAAATAATGCCAACTAATTTTAGAGCATTTTAGTTATTCATTTTCTTGCAAAAATATTTCCCATTTCCTTCTACCACTACTCTCTCTTCTCTGTTATTTTTTGCTGATCAAATGTTCTTAAGAGAGATTTTAAAAAATATATACCTATACATAATTTTGGATTTTTTTCTAGATTTTGCTTTTCTCCAATGGAGGAAAGTTTATGAAGAAAACTTTGATTGGTGAAGCCTGTATCTGGCTTGACAAAGTGGATCTAAGGAAAAGAATAGTCAACTGGCACAAACTTTTGGTCAGCCCAACTCAAACCCACTGAAGAAAAATATCTCTGCTCAGGGCTTCGAAACTTCTCTAAATAGCTTCAAGTCAAGATTAGAGTTGGATGCTATTGTACTAAGCTGTGTTTTCAATGGCAAACATGATAGAGGGTACAATAGATTTAAAAGCATACTTGAAGTTTTATAGGTTTATTGTTGTGGAATATAGACTCAAATGAGAAAATTGATATCTTCAAGGGAAAGAAAAGTAGTGTTGAGCACTTTTATGTTTTATTTCTTTCAAGAGGAATTGAAAGAAATGTTGAATATGTGAAACAAAATATTAGGTAGATCTGAGCTGCCGCTGAAAACACAGGCTCAAATACTCTGCACAAAAGTAATTCTTTATCTGGAAGAATCTTGGTAGAAAGCAAAGAACTGATAAAATAAATCTCAGATTTCAAGAGTCTCAATCTTCAGATGATTTATTATATTGAGATTCTCAAATAGAATGTATCTGCGAAATGAGTCCAGGACCAGCAGTTTGATGGTTTTGTTCCTGAAGGGGGGAAAAATGAATGATAGAGGTGAAGGCTCTGGCTTATAGACAATACTGTACAGTTTTCTCTTGTGTCTATATGTTACAAGAGTTTAAGACATCAGTTTTGGAATCCATGTGATAAAAGCACATTAGTTTCAGTATAACTTGAAATAATATAGAGTGACTAGATAGAGATGAAATTACGTTTATCCTAGAAATAAAGCCACCATTTTTTTTATACCTTGAAGAATGACTAACAAGGAAGAATGTTGCCCACAAATATTGGAACCTGGGTAGAAAACATAAAAATATCTGTAATTACCCTTAAGTCAAGGCATTTCCAACCTGTGTACCAAAGGACCTAGATTAAATCAGTAAATTCTAGCAAGCATGATGATTTTTCTTTATGGAATTACAAGGAAATGTATTATTATCACATATATTTAATTTCTTTTGAGCACTGTATAGATAGAGAAGGAACATTCATCTGGAAATAAGCCAAATGAATCTGGTAACACAGATTAATTAAATTGATGTTAGTTCTTACTTTTCTATGTTTTTTTGCCCACTCCTCACCCCTAAACACACTTTAAGGAAAACCATATATGAAACTCAAATTTTCCTTAGTGCTAGTAAGGAAAAACATCACAGTGACAAAGATCATCAATGTTGGGGAAATATGTGAACATTCAATATTACGTTACAGTCAAAATATACTTCTAGATGTTTTAAAACCAATGAATAAAATTGCCAATGTTCAAATATTTAAAATAAAGTTGTTACCTTCTCTATTAACCAACAATCTTCAAATGAGAAGTACCGTGGAGTTATGGAAGACACACTCAGCGGGAGTTACAAACCTGGTTCTTGTCTTGGCTCTGCCACTGACTGACTGTAGTGCCTTGCACATGGCATGTGAGCACACTTTCCCCTGGTTTTCTTGTTTGTAGGGAAAAAAAAATAATCAGATATTCCTAGACTTCCTAATGGAGTATTGGGATAACCAAGCTATGCTATCTCTAAAAGAAGATGAAAGCACATTCCCAAATATAGTTTTATATGCAAAAGTCAGGAAAATTTGCAGATTTTTAATCCTCAAATGTCACACGTGAAAAATCATCCTCCAAGATAATGGTATAAAATGGCATGGATAGAAGCAGAAAATGAATCCAAAACTTTCCCCCCTATTATTGAAAATATAAGCTTTCATTTCAGCTAAAAGAGGGTGAGAACTGAATGAAAATGTCTGCTATTTCTGTTACCTGAAATTACGTGAGTTATATGAATATCTTTATCTCATGAGATACTAGATCTCAAAATGAAGAAAGCATTTTTTAAAACAATTCTGAACTTGAAAAGGATTACTTTGTTCAAGAGTGAGGGGGGAGTAAGTTGAAGAAATCATCTCTAAAGACATTGGCTGGATATTGAAATCTCTTGATTTCAGAGAAAAAGACTGTTAATTTTGAAAAGTCAATATAAAACGTTTAAAATAAAAGCAGTTCTAAATACAACCCTTGTAATATATTTTTATTATATTCATTAATAAACACAAATTTACTTTTTTTCCAATTTAAGGAAGATAAACTTTTATTCTGTTTAAATTTTTTTATCCCCACAAATGCTGACAATGTAATGCCATTTACCATTTATGTTGCTTTATAACAAGCACCAGAAGAGATCATTAAAGATTTGATTTGATATTGCTAGAATTTTATTTTTAAAGAAAACTAGATCTGCTCATGGTTGCCATGGATATTTCCAGCAGAAGCTAGCACTTAAGGAAGCCTATAATTATCACTCATAATTGAGGAAGAAAAGGGTCCAGGAAGATCTCCTAATAGAAAAAAAAACAACCAAAACCCAAAAGTCTGCTATTTGACATCACACAACAATATTTGACATCACAAGGAATACTAGCTCACGTTTGCTCCTTTTCTGCAACCACATACACCCATATAAAGGCATGAGACCAGTTAGTTTCATTCATTCCAATTTCAATTTCTTTCAAAACAATACTAGTAAATGGGTAATCTAATCAAAGAACATCCCTTGGTAGCTATGTGACCTGAACGTTGGAGTCTTTTCACATTGAGACCCCCAGTTTCAAAGGGACAAGTGGTGGGGCCAGGTCAATTATGACAGTTATTACAGGGCTTCTTTTTGTGCACCAGCCTCTTCCCTCAGAGAGCATCAGATCCTGCCAACGTGTGCCAAGTTTGTAGCTGACCTAACTCCTAGGTTGTACTGGAGTAACTCTATGCAACACTGATCCTTATCTGAATGAATTTCTTCTGAATGATGTTGATTACCCTTCTTACAAGGAAACGATTTCTTTTTTTAAGTAAAAATAGGGCTCTTGGTGTTTTTTACTTTTTTGTATATACTATAGCACATGATTTTTCCACTATTTGTTTTATTTTATGAGAGTTAGCTCTTTTTTTTTTAATCCTAAAAGTGGCAAAATTTTGAATATCTAAATATCATTTGTTTGCCTAATTTTAGCACTGAAGTTTGAAAAGTATTTTCATTTTCTTCACAAGTTCACTGAGTCATCAGAGACTAATGTTGCTTCTTGACTTAAGATTTGGTCCTAAGGAAAATTTCAGAAATGCAAGCAAAAGCACAGTGTGAGTTTTTACAAAAGACAGATTTATAGGATAGTTGTTACAGAAATAGATAACACTGGGCACTAGTAGCAAGAAGTTGGTGTTATCACTGTTCTTGTCTTAGAATAATTTTTTCCCTGTAAAATTAAAAAGATTTTTTGATGACTCTGAACTCTTTATTTATCATTGCACTTTAATAGAACAGTATCCAAGATTGGGGCAGAGATTGATTTTGCTCCTTAATATTGCCCGTATTTTAATTAATTACACTAATCAAATGCATATTTTCAACATATCAGTGGGATTAATTTCATGGAACACACACATTAAAATTGTCATATTGTGGGAATATTATAGCTGGTAACCAGCTGATATTGCTTCTTATTCGAGGGATGGTTGTGATTACAATGGTGACAGCCGGTAGTGATATTGTAATGGTGGTGGTGTAATGTGAAGTCAAACTATATGCTACATTGTGCTTCATTTATTAGAAATTCTTTGCTCGATGTCTCATTACATTAAGGTATCATAAAGATGTTTATAGTATTTTTTTACTTTATTTATATCATCACTAATGATATTTTTAAAAGCTAATTTTCATTGCTACAATGTCTAATATTTCAAAATCAGCCAACTACAGCTATATATGTGTTTATAATTCTATATGTGACAGAAGCAATCTCACCCTATTTTTGTTTTTAAGATTTGAAATGGAGTGAAGAAAAGCTCAATGAATAATAATGAGCTGTTTCTTTAATACTACTTGCCTTTGATGTAATGCAGGAATGAATGAGTGAATATTCTCATTGAATATGACACAATGATGTCTTCTGTATGCTCTGTGCTCTTACTGTCATTAAAATACACATTCAACAAAGTAATTTCATGAAATCCTTATCTGATAGGTAGATTGAAAACATTTTCTTAATTCATTACCTTGTACATAAGTATACATTTGGATAAATAGGCAAAACTAAACTTTCCATTTCATTAGCATTCAGCATGTAAATGTGACTATTGTTTGGTTGTGTCTGTATTGTTTGATATGTGCTCAGGTGCTCCCACTACTGATTAATGTGTGTGCTGAAATCTTAACAAAAACACATCTGATGTTAAAGAACAAAATACAACAATTTTCTTGTCTGAAGAGATAAAAACTAATAAAATTTATTTCAAACTGAAAAATAAAAGTGCTTGGAGATGTGTCTTGTTTCTAATCATATGTTGCATGCTGTGTTGGTAATTTGCTGTTATTTCTTTCTGTTTCTCCCTAACCTCTCTGGAAAAATCTAGTGAATCAATTCTTAGGCTAAAGGGTGTATAAACTGAACTGGAAATACATGAGACTTGTATAAAAAATGCTTGTAAATCTGTCTTGAGTTTTACCTTATGTAAAAATATGTCTTGGTTTTGTGACTGTATACAAGATGTATCTTGATAATTTATGCAAAATTGTGCTGTGTAAAGGGTTGCTGCCTCAGCCTTACCAATAAATATGGAAAATATCACCTTTGACCCCTTGCATTTATCAACATGATAGTCAATATATATAAACAGTAACTTATTGCCATCAAGTTGGCACTGACTCATAGCTGAGGCTCCAGTGAATTTTCAAGACTGTAAATGCCGTAAGGGAGACTGCCCATCTTTCTCCTGCAGAACAGTTATTGGATTCAAACTTGTTGCCTTTGGACTGACAGTGCAACTCTTTACCCACTAGGCCACCAGTGGCCTTACCACTGCTGTTTGCTGTTTACCTTCAAGTTGGGAGTGATTCACAGCTGACCCTCCAGTAGATTTTCAGAGGCAGTAAATCACAGGGAAGGAGATTGCTTCTCTTTCTTCCATGAAGTAGCTGGTGGATTTGAACTGTGTGCTTTGGGTTAGCAGCACAATTCCTTATCCACTA